AATAGCTCAGGAAAAAATTGCATAGTTTGCGTAATTTATTGCATAATGGCCTCTTTTTATTGCATATATAGTCTGCCCCAAAAATTTCGCATAATTTCTAATTTGTTATGGCACCCTATCAGAAGGCCTGTCCGTAATTGTTTGTGTAATTTTTGGGGGGCAAATAAAGCTTGGTTATTTCTGGTGCTTATCAGAATAATTACAAAGTGTACTAGATATAGTATAGTGATGCAAATACTGCAATCCGATTGGCTGAGCTATAGTTAGCACACTGTCAAGTTGATATTTTTCTCAACAGATTGTCCGTCTGGAAATAATCCTTTGTTTGTAACTGCATCAGCATCTCGCAACAAAACCATTAAAAGTTTTAACTATCCCTGGGATTATTATAACTACCTGGAATGCGAATGGCGCATTCAAACAGAAAGCAAGCTCAACTCTTCTTATGTGTTGAGAGTGGTATTCAATGACTTTGATTTGGAGGGTGAGCCAGCCTCCTCATCCTCTGTGTGTCCGTATGACAACCTGACATTTTATGATGGATATTCAGACTTGTCTCCCCTTCTTGGATCATACTGTGGTACAGTCCACCCTGAAGTTATTTATTCCACTGGAAATAACCTGTATATCAAGTTCAATACAGACAACGCTAATACTTTCAGAGGGTTCAGCATAAGTGTTTTGGCAGTTGATAGAGGTACTAACAGTAAATACTGACATGCAAATTTCATTATGTTGTTCCAGAAAATACATACCCATACAGAGGACTTTTTGGTTTAAACCCTAATCTCCCGTCCTTCCTATTCCCTTCCCCTCTTGCCCCATCCCCTCTCATACCTCTGGAAATTCCAGTTTTGGATCATACTTTCCTTTCGAAATTTTGGCTTTTGAGCCTCCGTCCCAGGAATTTTCAGTAACTCTCCATGGGTTGGTTATGGATGTTTTCTGTAACCACTCATTTAGTGTCAATTTCTAGGCAATATATTACAATATACAGTACAATATCATGCAGCTTTAAAACCTATTGATGAGAGAAAAATATTTGTCCATTTCCCTTGCTTATTGTTCTTGGGGAAGAAACTTCATTTAGCATCTATAAACTATGATTAGAATCTTTAGCATCTATTAACTACAGGTACTACATTTACTGGGTAGTTTTTAAACACATAATGTGGTTTGCATATAATTTTCAAAGTGTAAAGAACAAAAGTTTCACTTTCACCAAATATGCATCCGGGATTTTTGTGCAAGAAAATCAATGCAGTCGTGTATATGACCTAAGGAGTTCAGAAATAAAGGCGCAAAATGCAGGCTTCAATTTGGGATTTCAATCTCAATCCCATGACTTCACTAATACAATGTCAGTGCAGAGCCTTATAACCGGCCTGATCAATCGATGAAACATAATCGAAGACCAATCGATGAACAAAAATTTTATGTTTTTCGATTGCCATCGATTGTCATCGATTGTCATCGATTATCATGGATTACCATCGATTGTCATGGATTATTTTCGATTCCCATCGATTGTGATCGACTAGCAATTTCATCGACTTCCATATTTTTTGGGCGGGTACATGTATATAAAATACGTCTCGCATCTGGACTTGCCAAAGAAGTTACTAACGCAATAAGCGCTACGCCAGTTACTTCTACTCTAACTTAGCCGGAAGCTTACTAGGTAGGTCAGGAGAGTAAAATGAGGAAAGATGGTCGATGCTGAATGCATACAGTGTATGGTGTTGACACGTTAAATAAACACCCAGCAGGGAATAACCGCTACGTATTACGGCTTTATGTGTAATGGATACGTTGCTCCTCTGTTAAAAGTTCACTGGTAGAATACTTTCATTTCCTTGACACAAAAATGAAACAAGATTCACATGTGCAAACGTTAAACTTAGAAATAAGAGCCTCAAAACATCGGTCAGTAAAGTTAATAAATAAATTGATCTTAAGATACACATTATGATGATGGTCCGTATTGATCAGGCCGGGCCTTACACCAGCAGCCAGTAGCTTTCCCATCCCCACCCCCTTGCATTTTGGCACGTTCTTATCCCCCATGGTTAATTTTTTGCTCATGATCTTGACGAATTTAAGACAAACTTACCGATAAGGTCGGTGAACAGACAATCTTTTTACATCCGAAGTAGTGACAAAGGACCAATCCGTGCATGCTTTGTTGATATCGTATATTTGAACTGCAGGTGAAAGCTTTTATTGAAAGGCCACAGTTAAGTACACATGCATGTTAACAATTGCAAAAGTCAAAAAACTGAAAAAAAAATAGCCTTGAACGAGATTCGAACTCTGCAGCTTTATAAAGTACATGTAAAGAAATTTGTTTTTCTTAAACGTTGTTGCAGAAAAAGCCAGTTTGATATGCCGTCCATCAAGGGAAGAAAGAATAAGTAAAATTGTTGGTAGAAGTTCTTCTGGTACAATATTCACCCCCGACTATCCTGTCCCATACCAGGATTATACAACCTGTGTTTGGTCGATTTATGTGCCCGATGGAAGGAGAGTGAAATTAACATTTACAGATTTTGAACTTGGCAAAAGCGTTGTCGCTACTAAGGACAATTTCTGTAAACAAATATTTGACATGGACTATGTTGAGATTCACAATGGCCCCTGGTCTACGGGTGGACTTCTTGGTATTTACTGTGGAAAAAAGATGCCTTTTGATGTTTATTCAACTGGGCCTCACATGTGGATGAAGTTTCGTGCCAACCCTGATGGTGTGCGAGAAAACAAAGGTTTCAAAGCATATTTTGAAGCTGTTGATCTGCGTAAGTTGACAGCTGTTTTACTTTAACTGTATAACTAAAATTTAGGCAAAGTTTAATGGCTTAGTTCCGACAAGTCTCAAGTAGCTTAGTAGTAGAGCATTTTGACTAAAACTCGGAATTCCTTTTTGCGAGTATGCTCGTGTCACTGAAGGAAAAATCAGAATCAGAATTTAAGTTGTTTCAATGGCAATTTTCGGTGAACATCATTTCAGTTAGTCGGTGACTGAGTCTGTGTATCTATTCGTGTAACTAGACAGGAATAGTATCACTGAAAGGAAGCATTCGGTTTAGAACTGAAATATACTCTTCTTTCATTCCATGCTCGAGAATATCAATCGTCCTTTAGCTTACTGTGCCT